CCAAGTTTATGAAATGTGCGCTTTTTTTTTTCTTTTTTTTAAAATTTGTTTTTAATTTTGATTTGGTGTTTTCTGTAGAGAGCATCATAGTCTCCTCCGTTCCCAGACTATGTTAAAACTCTGATTGCAACCTACAGGGTCCGTGTTAAGGAATAGCGGCGCCCTGGCGAAGTCTTACAATGCCGCCCCTGAATATACAGAAGGCAAAAAATGCCGCGGACATAGCGCCAGCTTGTCTTTGTGAAGTGTATTTTATCGTGTATTTCACTTATTTAAGGAAATCCAAAGACGATTTTGCCCCCCCCCCCCTGATGGCGTACGAATAGAGTGACCCTTTCACCCCCCCCCCTCGCATGGCCCCGGCATGTCCTTGTCCATCATCCCGCCCCCACCCCAATTTTTAGAAATTAAATCTCTCTCTCTCTCTCTCTCTCTCTCTCTCTCTGTCTCTCTCTCTATCTCTCTCTGCATGCGTCCAGCAACCATCGGGTGTGCCATCAAAACATAACCACCTTTCCCGACGACGTCAAACAATCGAGAAGGTTAAGGAACCTGGCTCTGAATGCCACACTCCTCGGTGGGGATATGCTCACCTCACCCTCCCACACTCACGTGATACAGTTTTAAACTTCAAAGGTTGAGCACCGGTCCGGAATGATACCGTTTTGTAACACCAGATTAGTTCAGTTTGACCCGTGTGGAAACCCCACCACCCGTGCGGATTTCCCGGCTCATCCTTGATATCCCTTTCCCGGGTTGATATTTCCGGAGAGTTCATGATGACTACTATAAGAGCACGTAACTAACCGTTGCCGAAGTCGTTCACTACAGCCTAGTGTTGCGTTGTGTTGTTGTTGCTCCTTTTTCGCGTAATGATGTTTAAGGATTGGAAGATGCCATAAACGTGATCGATGTTGAAAAACCTACTTGCTTCATTTAGCTTTTCTTGACATTAAAATATACAAGCAAGGGAGTAGCCAGGGTTAGTGCCACCCGGGGCGGGTTGAGCTTTTCCCGCCCCATCACGAAAACAACTCCAGGCGACCGATAATTTCGCCCCTCAACATAAGGAAAAAAGTACCATGGGTGGGGGAGGGAGGGCATCGCCACCCCCGCACCCCAATTCCAACGCCACTACATATAAGAATGAACTTAACATGATTCATGAAGTTCTGGCCAACACACTGCAAGTACGTGCAAACAAAAATTGGCTTGATGGTTCATGGGCTTTCTTTCACATATTACTCCCAAGTTTACAGCTGCGATCTTATATGTGTGCAAAATTTGGGCTTTTAGGTGTATGCCGTGTGCAATCATTAGGAATAATACAAAATGTAAAAAAAAACAACTACTTACTACTCGACACCAGAGAGATTTCGTATTTTTATTGTGTCTTCTTGAGTCACCGCCACACATAGTAGACTCTCTATTGTAACAGTATAATCGTGTACAGAAATAAAAAAGGAAGAAAAAAAAAGATGTATTCTATTACCGATTTATAGTGACAAGATATAGTATCAAGTCTTTGTAAGAATACTGACTCACCATTTATGTAATCAAAATCTGGTAACAAAATTGTAATGCCACCCAGTGTAATCAAACAATCAGTAAACTGGTCAATGTGAAAATATTATTTTAAAAAAAACATGAAATACATGTGACAATTAAATCATGTACAAGATGTCGGACAAACTACGTACGAATAAATAAGACTAATTTATGTTTGTTAGTGTTGTTTTCAAGCTTTTTCAGTTATAAATTTAAAAAATAAAAACTTTATTAATTTCAGCAAATCAAAATGTACTACAAACTCATTCATAACAACCCACTGAACATATAGTAATTTGATTTTTTTTAAAATCAAAATGGTGAGGATATCGATCGGTCGATAATAACCAATTCAAATTGCATATCGTCTCTCTCCAACAGCTTGCAAAGATTACATAACTATGCAATACTTTAAAACGTTTGTTAAATAAACGATGTCAAGGTCATGAAATCAGAGAGCATTGTTAAATAAACGGTGTCAAGGTCATGATATCAGAAAGGGTGGTTAAATAAACGGTGTCAAGGTCATGACATCAGATTGGAATGTGTGTGTTTTGATTTTGGTGACACGGGGGGCTAGCGAGCGAGTGTGAACGATTTTCATGTCACAGGTGCATGGGATTTTGGGGTGATAAAAGGGGAGGCAACTTTTGAGCGGGAGGAGGGCCGTATTATGTTCACGGATGTGAGAGTGAACGAAGGTTGCAGTGCGAGGGATAACTTGGACTTGAGAGGTCGTGTTGGATGGCTCTCAAATGGAGTGACTGATATTGGTATCTGATATTTTATTGCAAGCCTGTGGCTATCTACTTCTCTGCAGCGCAACTATACTTCTGCACATGACTCTAATGTCAAAGGAATCAGGTGATTATATAGCATCTATCATAAAGTACTGTTAGTGCACCATGGACATTGTGTTATTTTTCAGAGAGAGAGAGAGAGAAAGAGAGAGACCGTCATTGTGAAGTGGAATAATAGGCCAGTCGAATAATTGACAGGCATCAGAAGATCCTAGACAACGTGACTATTCTGGCGTGCCCCCCGGAATATTTTACAAACAGATTTCTGGGCCATATTTTCTATTGCCTTTCTGTTATTTTATTTCTTCCAGTGACAGACAGACTTCTTTCATTCCTCCAGAGAAACTTCTTACATTCCTCCAAAATTTTCACATTCCTCCAGACTAACTTTTCACATTCCTCCAGACTAACTTTTCACATTCCTCCAGACTAACTTTTCACATTCCTCCAGACTAACTTTTCACATTCCTCCAGACTAACTTTTCACATTCCTCCAGACTAACTTTTCACATTCCTCCAGACTAACTTTTCACATTCCTCCAGACTAACTTTTTACATTCCTCCAGACAAACTTCTCCCATTCCTCCAGACAAACTTCTCCCATTCCTCCAGACAAACTTCTCCCATTCCTCCAGACAAACTTCTCCCATTCCTCCAGACAAACTTCTCCCATTCCTCCAGACAAACTTCTCCCATTCCTCCAGACAAACTTCTCCCATTCCTCCAGACAAACTTCTCCCATTCCTCCAGACAAACTTCTCCCATTCCTCCAGACAAACTTCTCCCATTCCTCCAGACAAACTTCTCCCATTCCTCCAGACAAACTTCTCCCATTCCTCCAGACAAACTTCTCCCATTCCTCCAGACAAACTTCTCCCATTCCTCCAGACAAACTTCTCCCATTCCTCCAGACAAACTTCTCCCATTCCTCCAGACAAACTTCTCCCATTCCTCCAGACAAACTTCTCCCATTCCTCCAGACAAACTTCTCCCATTCCTCCAGACAAACTTCTCCCATTCCTCCAGACAAACTTCTCCCATTCCTCCAGACAAACTTCTCCCATTCCTCCAGACAAACTTCTCCCATTCCTCCAGACAAACTTCTCCCATTCCTCCAGACAAACTTCTCCCATTCCTCCAGACAAACTTCTCCCATTCCTCCAGACAAACTTCTCCCATTCCTCCAGACAAACTTCTCCCATTCCTCCAGACAAACTTCTCCCATTCCTCCAGACAAACTTCTCCCATTCCTCCAGACAAACTTCTCCCATTCCTCCAGACAAACTTCTCCCATTCCTCCAGACAAACTTCTCCCATTCCTCCAGACAAACTTCTCCCATTCCTCCAGACAAACTTCTCCCATTCCTCCAGACAAACTTCTCCCATTCCTCCAGACAAACTTCTCCCATTCCTCCAGACAAACTTCTCCCATTCCTCCAGACAAACTTCTCCCATTCCTCCAGACAAACTTCTCCCATTCCTCCAGACAAACTTCTCCCATTCCTCCAGACTAACTTCTCCCATTCCTCCAGACTAACGTTTCACATTCCTCCAGACAAACTTCTCCCATTCCTCCAGACAAACTTCTCCCATTCCTCCAGACTAACTTTTCACATTCCTCCAGACAAACTTCTTACATTCTCCCAAACTTCTTACATTCCTACAAACTTCTCACACCCTTCCAATTTTCTCACATTCCCCCAGACAATCTTCTTAGTTCTTAGATTCCTAAAAACTTCTCACATTCCTCCAAACTTCTTACATTCTTCCAAAATTTTCACATTCCTCCGGACAAACTTCTTACATTCCTCCAAAATTAGCACTTTCCTCCAGACAAACTTCTTACATTCCTCCAAAATTATCACATTCCTCCAGACAAACTTCTTACATTCCTCCAAAATTCTCACATTCTTCCAAACTTCTTACATTCCTCCAATTCTCAAGTTCCTCCAAACTTTTCACATTCCTCCAGTCAAAATTCTTACATTCTCCCAAACTTCTTACATTCCTACGAACTTCTCACACCCTTCCAGACAATTTTCTCACATTCCCCCAGACAAACTTCTTACATTCCTAAAACCTTCTCACATTCCTCCAGACTAATTTTTCACATTCCTCCAGACACACTTCTCACATTTCAACAGGCTCTTCTGACTTAAGAGGAGTGAACTTTTGATTGCCTGGTTTGGTGCATGAAATAATTGCTTCCGTGGCTAAAATGATTTAACAATTATGATTATCTGATTATGCCCCTTACATAGATAAACAAGTCCAAGTTTAGGGGAACTATTAATAGCATTCGTGGATTTCTCATCCTCAAAATGTAATACGTAAACTGGGGTCTTTTCTCTACAATATAGATGCATGTCACATTATGACAGTGTGAAGTACTTGATATTGATACCCCATTGCGCCCAACTCTATTTGACGAATTTTAATCCCTTATATTGCTTGTGTCGTCCTTCCAGCTCCAGCAGCTAATCGTCAATGGCGATCTGCCGTGTTCCAAAGAGGAAGCAGCCACGCTGGCCGGCATACAGCTCCACATAGAGGAGGCCTGGCCGGAATCCGAGGACGAGGAGGAGGAAGATGTCGGCAGCGAAACCCCCAACCACCAGAACAACAACTGTGGCAGCCCCACGAATGGCGTGGCTGGCGGCGAGGACGGAAACGGCGAGCTGACGCGCTGCTTTCGCCTCAACACCGACAGCGAGAAGCTAGAAAACCTACGGCACAAGAAGGAGCTGATCCGTTCACACAGGGCTCAGAGAATCACAAGGTTAGATGCTAACGTTATGTCGGGTTCGTGTTGAAAAGCTTTGAGCCAACGATTGCGTCATCGGTTTAGACGTGCTCAACAATTGCCTTGCCCTTTTTCCTCCCCCCAGCAAGTTTATCTCCCATGTAAACAGTTTACAGGCAAATTAAGTGTATCTCTTTATCATTGTTTCTATCTATAGAGTTTAATCAAGGTTGGGCTGGGTTGGTTTTTTTGTAAGCCTTAGGGAATTGTATAAGCATGATTAAGTTTTTTTTCATTGTTGAGCCACATTCAGTTTTGTTAGGCTTAAACATTGAACCCTATTTCAACTTTGCCTTCGATTGTTGGTTGTTGTTGTTTTTTAAAGTTACATTTGCTTTTTACTGGAAGTAACCAAACAGGATTTACACTCACTGTCACTATTGCCTGAATCTTGTATGAGGTCTGTAGATATTTCGTTAAATTTATTTTATTTATTTATGCTATCATCACTTGTTTACATTATCTTTCAGTTATATTTTCTCTTTTCATGTGCGAAGCGGAGTTCGATGGATACAGATCATCAAGCTTTAATGCATGAATCTGTAACTAACATTACCAACATTGTGTTCACCGAGTAGTTTATGTACCGATCTGTTAAGACCAGCGATATGGTACACGGCAAATGGTCACTTGAGTTACATTAAAGGCGTTTTGGGACGATAGAGGAATATATCTGGTATACAATGACATTGAAATAATTCTAAAAAAGTGATGTGTTGCCTTCCCATCGGGCCCTAATCATGTAAACCTCTTGTAATTTTTTCAGACAAATTTCACTTGTCATCCTCGTAATCTTCCCCCTTGCCCCTGTGTTTAATTCGACCATTGTCATCCTCGTAATCTTCCCCCTTGCCCCTGTGTTTAATTCTACCATTGTCATCCTCGTAATCTTCCCCCTTGCCCCTGTGTTTAATTCGACCATTGTCATCCTCGTAATCTTCCCCCTTGCCCCTGTGTTTAATTCGACCATTGTCATCCTCGTAATCTTCCCCCTTGCCCCTGTGTTTAATTCTACCATTCTCCGTGTCCGACAGCACCCGTCGCAGCACCAAACTTGCCCGCACCTTGTTGTGTACCAGCGACAGTGACTGGCAACCAAGGGAGAGTCTCGACCTCAGCAGATTCCTGCCGCCTCACTACACAACGTCCAAGAAAGTCCGCGAGCTCATCGAGGTACAGCAAATACATAGGCTGAGTTTACATAAGATGCATAGGCTGAGTTTACATAAGATACATAGGCTGAGTTTACTTAGGATACAGAGGCTGTGTTTTTAATTGATCATTTTGACTGGCGATATTGCATCCATTCATATAACATTACAAACAGGGCCTTCGCGTTAAGCCCTGCAACCCATGCAGCTGCACTGGGTCTCAGATATTTCAGGCGCTCCTATCTGTAATGCGGCCAATATTGATTAAACTATCAATTTTGAAAGCAGGGGGGGGGGCACAAAACAGAACAGTAACAGGGTGTCTCCAAAAGTTAAAGTGACGGCCCTTAGTACCCATTAATTAGTTTGTGCTATGCTTAAATGAATTTGTAATCCTTTTTTTTTTTTTTAAATTCAACAATCGTAACAATGTTTGTAACATATAACTGAATATATTTGATAGACCTAATACTGAAGTAGGATACTTACTTTGGAACATAGAAGCTAGGTTCAAAAAGGTCATCCACAAAAAAAAAGATGGAAATACAGCCCCCCCCCCTCCCTCCCCCCAACCCCTCAGGAAAAAAAGCAAGAAGAAAATTAAAAATTTACAAATAAATGCATCTTTTTTTTTTTTTTTTGCCATGTTTATAATTAAAAATATTGTTTGTATAAATATTTTCTGGACATTTTGATTAAATATAGCCCTTAAGCTACGGTGTCCTAAATGTTAATGTGACAAGAGAACACGTGTAATTCAGCTATACAGCACCTGAGCAGAAGCTCTAAGTTCTGTGCTCACACTTTCTCTTTCATAGGACAAGCAGAAGAAGTTGTGGCACACGCCTTACTATGAGAACGAGGTCAAGTTAAAGCAGCTGTACATCAAAATCTGCAAGAACTTACCGTCCTATGGATGCAAGCTTTTCCAGGTCAAAGAAATCCTGCGGGGAAACACACAGAAAAAGGTACATTTGTGTTGTAGTTACCTGATGTTTAAAATAAAACTTGATTAATTACCTACAAATAGGAAAAGATATGATAATTATGTTATTTATCCAAATAACTGGAAATGTGTTTTGATTAAAATGTACATATTAATTTCCCGCACATGGATATATATTCTCTCCAGGACAACATTTTAAAACTAGAACAATTTAAACACGACACACCTAAATTATTTCTTTTTTCAAGCGCAAAAATCAGCCGTCATATAAAATAAACTAGACTCCCCTTGTGAAAATATAGAGTTATTTTTTTTAAGATTTTTAACAGTGGGGGGAGGGGTGAGGGGGGGCGCTGGTAAATTCTGACCGATTGAGGAGGAAATGAATTTGTATATCTTTTGGTGGCAACTTATAAGGAAAGGATTCGCCCTGAACCAGCTTATCCTCCAATATCTGTTTTGCTCAACTCTGTGGTATACAGAGATACTCCGAATCTCACAACTGAACCCTTTCACATTTTAGTAACACATTAAATCGATCCATTATGGCCTGAATATTGAGATATTACTATAGGATGTCGTGTTTACAGGTGACACGCCTACTGGCCATCTCCAGTGAGAAGATCATGTTGCTGGACACGAAGACCCAGCTTCCGGCCAAGACGCAGCAGTTAAAAGATATGGACGACTGGCTGTCCGGGAGCGGCAAGGCTCACGACAGCCTGGTTCTGGAGTTCAGGGGAACAAAGCCTTGGACCCTGGCCATGCCTTCTGTGGACTGTCTCAAGTCGGTCACCGCCGCCATCTGGGAAGCACTGGACATGGATGGGCGGTTTCTCAACAACGGGGCCTTGCAACGAGATAGCTTTGAATTTGGTGGGTAGCTTTGAGTTGGTGGGTAGCTTTGAGTTGGTGGGTAGCTTTGAGTTGGTGGGTAGCTTTGAGTTGGTGGGTAGCTTTGAGTTGGTGGGTAGCTTTGAGTTGGTGGGTAGCTTTGAGTTGGTGGGTAGCTTTCAATTTGGTGGGTAGCTTTCAATTTGGTGGGTAGCTTTGAGTTGGTGGGTATCTTTGAGTTGGTGGATAGCTTTCAATTTGGTGGGTAGCTTTGAGTTGGTGGGTAGCTTTGAGTTGGTGGGTAGCTTTGAGTTGGTGGGTAGCTGTATAACCATTCAGCTGTTTCTTAAAACTTAGAACTTTAATGCCCAGAAACTTAAAACTATTTAGCAGCGAAGAGAAATAGTGCCATTAAATTATCGCACCAAAACGAATCTGATTGGAGATGTTATTGAATAGTATGTAACCAACATAATTTGTAGCCAGGTTGTTAAAAATAGATATATATATAAATGGGTTAATTTTTGGGAATTACTTAATTAATGCTCCTGCAACTGCTTATCGATATGTGTGGCACACCAATCCTAACAACCATTAATAATTAATGAGTGGGTTCAGTATTGATATATTTTAGATATATCTTCAGTTTCTATTGGCAATACTGTTGACTCGCTGCTTTATTTCCGAATCTTAAAACGAAAATTTTCTCTGTTCATGTACCATGAGCTAACATTATTTTTATTTAACTATCATTGTTTTTTGTTCTTTTAAATGTAGCTTTATTTTAAAACATATAACATTAAAATTTTTTCCAGATTACCAAAGGCGGCACCTGACCCCCAGGCCAGAGCTGGAACCCTTCAGCAAATACACGGAGGAGCTAGAGGGCTTACGTAAAATGCTTCACTTCCCAGAAGAAGTGGCTCTCATGCTCACCAACACGGAGCACAGGTTGTTTGGCAGCGTTCCACCCCAGCATTACGTCCGCCACGTCACCATGGAACTGTCCAGGACTCTGCTGCAGAAAACACAGCCTTCAGTGGAACAGCTTATACAGAGGTTCAATGAGGTAACGTATCCCTGGATATGGTCTTTAATAAAAAATAAAAAAATAATAAAATGTAAAGGGATCTAAATGCCTGCACTTAAAGTCTAACCTGAGATTGAACAACACGACTAATGTGTTGAAGGAAAATGTCGTTTAAAAAATTCGTAAAAAAAAAATACTTAACATCAATCATATTGCTGGGTCAACAAGTGATGAACTATAGTAAAGGACTAACTCTGCCTGTAGATGAATGGGAGATGAACCACGCTTATCCCTAGGATGAAATACACTAGCATCACAAGGCAGGGTGCTGACATGGGTCACTTTAGAGGGGTTGGTTGGGGGGGGGGCAAAGGACCATGAAATTGTTGAGAAGGGACCTTATTGGGGGAGGGGGGGGCAAAGGACCATGAAATTGTTGAAGAGACCTTATTGGGGTGGGGGAGGGGAGGTCTGAGGCGAGAGGACGTGAGATTAGCCTGAAAAGACATTGAGATGGTGTGGTCAGATTGAGCATCATTGGGTGAACTCCTTGATGGCATATGCTCCATTGGGTCATTAGATAATGATTGATTATAATTTCTTCTAGTTTAATGAGTTGTTGGACAAAGTGTTATTGCACTTGACATTTAAAATTAGGTTTTTATTTCCAAGGCTATAAGATTTAAAAGGGAAATAACTATATTATACTCATCAGTGTGTGCAGTCGTTCTGTTAATCTTTTCTTGATTTGCAACGTTCTCAAATATCTCTCTTCCCCCTCTCTCTCTCTCTCTCCCCTCTATCCCCCTCTCTCTCCCCTCTCTCTCGCTCCCTCTCTCTCCCCCTCTCTCTCCCCCTCTCCCTCTCTCTCTCTCTCCCCCTCTCCCTCCCTCTCTGATGCAGTACATTTTTATTAGAACTTATATACAAACGTAAATATTTGGATAGTCCACCGCTGAATGCCATGAGTACTAACGTTCAATTGATGTTGTACTGTGCAGGTCAGCTCGTGGGTGACACAGCTAATCGTCACACAGGCCACACACGATGACAGGAAGGCCGTCCTCTCTTGCATACTCAGGCTGGCCGTCTACTGCTGGGTGCTGGGAAATTTTAATTCAGCTGTGGAAATTCTTTGTGGCCTAAGGTGAGCCATTTGTCACTGTACGTAAGACCTTGCTGTCTGAGATGATCTAGTTGTCACAGTGAAACATAGCTGTCTAAGGTAAGTTATTTGTCACAGTGACAACTTGCTGTCTAAGGTAAGTCATTTGTCACAGTGACACCTTGCTGTCTAAGGTGAGTCATTTGTCACAGTGACACCTTGCTGTCTAAGGTGAGTCATTTGTCACAGTGACACCTTGCTGTCTAAGGTGAGTCTTTGTCACAGTGACACCTTTCTGTCATAAATGTTAAATATTCTACATCAATTTAAAAAAAGTGAAATGGTTTAAAAATTATTAAGCTAGTGCAGCGGTCGGCAAACTCAGTCAAAAGAGCCAACAATCAGGAGCGAGACGATTACAAAAAAATTTGAGAGCCAAATTTCTTTTCAAGAACCATGTTTTCGGAGTCGAAAACGAGTCGAAAACGATTTGTGGCCAACTGACCGAGGCGCACCCAGGTTGTAAAAGAGCCGCATGCGGCTCACGAGCCGCGATTTTGGCGACCTAGTAGAATGAGATCACCAAATCAGTTCTGGGCTATAAAGTAATACACCGCTCTCACAGACACCTTCTCCCTTTTTGTTAACATCTTTAGGTCAGAGAAACTTAAGCCGTTCTGGCTGTCCATCGAGGACGAAGATCTCTCCACGCTGCATTCCCTGTCGGAAATGCTGCTAACCAGGGACCTGTCGCCCGAGTACAGAGAAGCCATCAACAGGGCGCTGGACATTCCCGAGTGCAAAGTGGTCCCCTTCTTCGGGTGTTTCCTTCGTGAGCTCAAGAGCATTTTTGTCGGAGTGCCCAGCATCGTTGTGCTGCCTTCCCAGGAAAATCAGTCTTTAGAGGTGAGCAGCGTTCCAACATTTTGTCTTTAGATGTGAGAAGCGTTTCAATATTTTGCTATTCACAGGTTACTTTCATATTTTGGAGCAAGTATTGATTTTTTAAAAATAATTATTAGAACCAAAGAAAAAAAAAAATACCTAAAAACTTTCTATAGCCACCAGGTGGTTCTCAAAAGGAGGAGTCTTTAATAATTTTTTAAAAAATGTTAACTCAAATTACACGGAAAGAAATTAAACCCGTTCTTGTTTAAAAAGGGATATAGAAAAATAGTGACTGTTTTATACAGAAGATAAAGTCCATTCCATTAAAAAAAATCCCACGCTATAATATTATACAAAACATGGTCAAAATTATTTAGGAGCCCTTCAGAAATTTTGTCCCGCTGTATTAGACGATCCCCCCCCCAAAAAAAAAAAAAAAGACGACACCCAAATGTAAATGTGTATCGTCTCATATGATTTCCTCCCTCCCCCCCCAAAAAAAAAAAAAAACCCCACCCAAAATTAAATGTGTTACCTCTCATATTGTTTCCCCCCCCCCCCCCCCCGGTCATAAACTGTCACACTATATTAGACACCCCCCGCCCCCTCTTTCCGGAGTGGGGCGTGCATTATAGACGACTCGTGCCAGTTAAATTCAACCGATTGTGTGTCCTGTAGACCTTTACGTTACCAAAGCCTTATCAGTGCTGCCTCCGACATCTTGAACCAGATAAAATAAAAATGGAACTACATTGTGTTTGGCTTGTCCATTTTGTTCAGTGAGCAGCAGTGTCTGAACAAATTATTATCATTTTAGATTGATTAGTTGGATTATAACGCCCTAAGGAGGAAATGGGGGAATAAGATACGTTAAAGTTTGATGTCACCGTTTGTACCAAGTAGCGCGGTAAGAGGGCAGAGGCTCTGACCCCTAGCTACGCCAACTGGGAATATAGAATGATCAACAGTTACCATACAATCAATGCATTCCCACTTTTGCACAATGACCATATAAGTGGGTTGGAGAGTCTGAATTCAGTCTCTGAGGTGGTCACCCGTATGTTTAAACCCTTTATAAAAAATAAAAATAAAAATGCTTTAAAAAAAAAAAAAAAAAAAAAAAATTAAAAAATTAAAAAAAAAAAAAACTAAAAATTAT